TGCAATGTGGGGGACGCCGAGGACAAAAGAGCTCTAACTGCAGCCCTTGAATTCCCCAGACATGCATGTAATTATAGCTCAGAGTGACCTGTGCTGCCTGTAACAGAGGTCACACGAGGCACTGTGGGCACCCAAAAGCAGCAAGTCTTATGGGCCAGAGTGGAACCTGACACCAGTGGCATCTGGCACCAGGGAAACTGGCAAAGGCGAAGAAATGTGAAGGCTGATGTGAGTGGAAGGAACTCTGGGTGATTCTGTCCAGCTGAGTAAAGCCAATGGAGAAATGGGAGGCTGAGGAGAGGGACAGAGGCCACGCCACGTGGGGCCTCAGTGCTAGGCTGAGGGGCTTCGGCTGTGTCCAGATGGCTCTGGGAGCCACAGGAGGGCTGTGTGCATGAGAGGAACAGGGGCAGCTTAGGCTGGAGAAAGACCCTCTGGGATGTGATTGTGGAAGAGGGGGGCAGATGAGGGAAGAGAGGCTGGGGAAGAGGATGAGGACTCAGGCAGGGTGGTGGGGATGGAGAGGTCCCTGGGGATCAGGACTCTTAAGGGGTTTGCTCACCCTTCCACTCCAGATTGCCACGGCCCCTCTCCAGATGCCCCAGCAGCCGGTGAGGGCAGGAGTAGAGCAGGAAGGTCTTCTCCTTGTTGACCGCCTCAGGGTGCTTCATCCACTTGATACCGATGGTCCGGGCCTCAGGCCAGTCCCCATCCCAGATACCCAGCTTGGGGTCGAACTCCATGAACTCCTCACCGTTCAGGGCATACTTGGCCATGGGCACTGAGACGTTGTCAGGGCCCAACTCGCAGCCCAGCAGGCCCTGCAGGGTGTAGGAATCTGGGGTGCCCACACACAGGTGAGCAGGGCCCAGGAGTCAGGGCTCTACTCCCCTCCTCTTTGAGACCCAGGATCCAAGTCCCCAGCCCCTCCTCCCTCAGACCCTTTAGTCCCACTCTCACCTCTGTCCCCGAAGACTTTGAGAGCTTCGAGGAAGAGTTTCTCCTTGTCCCTCAGGTCGGTCGTCTCTTTCTCCCAGTACCAGGACACCTGGCTTTCCCAGACCCAAGCCCCATACGGCTCAGCCTGGGCCCGCAGGTTATTGTAGCTCAGGTACTGCTGTGGGCCCAGCCAGCCTGATACCCAGAAGGCAGGCGTCCCCGAGGCCGGGTTGGACACGGCGGTTAAGTGGTACAGAAGGGAGCGATGGCTCTCCGCTGGAGAGACAGAGGTGAAGAGAGCAGATGGTCGCCCCATCTGGGAGAGAGAAAAGACTCCATCCCAGATAGAGAGACCAGACTCGGAGAGGGGGGTACAGCCCCCGAGAGGGGGACAGAGACCCAGACAGAAAGGGACAGGTGCTTCCCAGAAACACCGCCAGAGGGAGGAGATAGAAACCAAGTGAAAGGCGGCAAAGGAGGAAGTGCCCGGAGCTAGCGGAACCTCGGATTTAGCTTCCTTTGCTCTTTTCCCAGAGGGCGGCACCTCCCTGCTGCCCAGCAGCCCCAGCCCCGGAGCCCCCTCACCTGCGCGCAGCGTTCCAGGCAAGAGGAGAAGCAGGAGAGCGAGCCCCCAGGGCTGAGGCCGGGGGACCCGCATCCTGAGCGGGAGACCTGGGGCGGGAGGGGGCGCGTGATTCCTCCGGACCCCCGCCCCGCCCCTGCCCCACTCCCCCAGGTCCGGTCCTGCTAGGCCACCACGAAGGCGCGGCGGCTGCGCTCGATCGAGGAAAATGACAACAATGTCCTCCTCGTCCATGAACTTTCACCCAGTAAGTCGCTCCGGGTTGGTTAATTAGTTACAGAGCCTGGATAGGCTGGGATTCCTTTCTCCGAGTTCGGCCCTGCCTCCTCCTCCGCCCTCAGACCCGCGAGTCCAGGGAGGCCCCCCCCGCCCCTCCTCCCTCAGCCCCACAAGTCCAGACCCTCGCGCCCTCCTCCCCGAGCCTCGGGAGTCCGGCGCCCGGCTCTCTGCTCCGTCGGTCTGGGACCCAGCTGTACTCACTGCAGCCACGATTCCTTCCCTCCTGCTGCCCCGGCTGGCTCCCGTGACTGGAGACCCCAGTTCCTCTCTCACATCCTGTCCGGAGACTGCTGGCTCCTTGACTCCAGGAACATCCAACCCCGCCCCCCAGCTGCAGGGCACACCCCAGGCCGTGGACCCAGCCTGAGTGTTGGTCTCTGACTCTGGAAATTTTCTTTCTTTTTTTTTTAATCTTTTTCTCTGTTGCTCCCTGATTTTTTTTTTTTTGAGGGTGTCAGCCACTCAGCGAATTCTTGACAAAGTTGGGAAGCAACACGGTCGAAGTCCCAAATTTGGAGATCAGTGTGGGTCCCCTTTTATCTCATTGTCTCCCCCAACCCCCCACCCCAGCCTTCACTAGCTCCTGCTATAATAGAATTCTCCAGATACTTCCTCCTTCCAACCCCTCCCCCAAGTGTCCCCTTAAAGTGCTACTGCAGGACTTTCATATCTTCTAATATGACCTCAATAACACACAGTCCCCGTATTCTATTATCATGCTTGGGGGCCCCACCAGTCATCCACCCCTAGCCCACACTCCTGCTATAATGCTTCTATTCATGTTTTATTGTGGTAAAATGCACACAACAAAGGAGCTCTTATTTGTGACATTCAGTGCATTCACCGTGTTATGCAATCATCACCATGTATAAGTCGTAGAGCAGCCTCTATGGCCTGCGACCCCTCCAGCCCCTGGCAACCACTAATTTACTTTCTGTTTCTATGGACTTACCTATTCTGGACATTTCAGGGAAATAGAATCCTAACAATATTGTGGCATGTTGTGTCTGGCTTCTTTCACTGAGAGTACTGGTTTCAAGATTTATCCACATGATAGCGTGTTTCAGAACTTCATTGGATTTTGGTTTCTGTTTGTTTGTTTGAATGGAGGTGCTGGGGATTGAACCCAGGACCTCATGCATGCTAAGTGGGCTCTACCACTGAGCTCTACTCCCCCCACCCCCGGCCCAGAACTTCACTCCTTTTTATGGGTGAATACTATTCTATCCTATGGATCTACCACATTTGGTTTATCCATTCATCAGTTGGTGGGCATTTGCATGTTTTCCACTTTTCGGTTATTGTGAATAATGCTGCTGTGGACATTTGTGTGCAAGGCTTTTGTTTTCCTTTTTGTTTTTTTGAATAGCTGTATTCAGTTCTTTTGGGTATATACCCAGGAGTGGACTTGCTAGATCATATGATGTATTAGTCAGGGTTCTCTGGAGAAACAGAATCAACAGGATGTATATATATATAGAGAAAGAGACATTGTAAGGAGTTGGCTCATGTGATTGTGGAGACTTGGCTTGTACAAAAAGCTGATAGGGGGATGGCTGGCTGGCTGGCTGCAGACTCTGGAAAGAGTTTCAGTTCAAGTCTAAAGGCAGGCAGTCTGTCTTACAATAACCCATAATGAAAAAGAATACATATATATTATATATATATATATATATAAAAAACTGAATCAGTATGCTGTACACCAGAAATTAACACAACATTGTAAATCAACTCTACTTCAATTAAAAAAAATAATAGGGGGAGGATATAGCTCAGTGGTAGAGAGAGTGCTTAGCATGCTTGAGGTCCTGGGTTCAAACTCCACTACCTCTGTTAAAATAAATAAATAAACAAACCTAATTACTGCCTCCCCAATGTTTTAATTAAATAAATAAAATAAGTAAAGGCAAGCAGTCTGGAGAACCAAGAAGAGCTCGTCTTGTAGCTGAAGTCCAAAGGCAGTCTGCTGACAGAATTGCTGGCAGAATTCCCCTTGGCTTGGGGGAGGTCAGTTTTTTGCCCTCAACTGATTGGACAAGGCCCACCCACATTATGGCGGGCAGATCTGCTTTCCTCAGAATTCACTGATTTCAGTGTAAATCTCATCCCCAAACATCCTCACAGAAACATCCCAGAGTAATGTTTGATCAAACATCTGGGCACTGTGGCTCAGCCAAGCTGACATCTGTATGTAACTATTACAGGCAGTAAATCTATATTCAACTTACTGAGGGACCTCTATTCATTTTCATTCCTCTCCCTGGATCCTGCGAGAACATCCACCAAGATCCACTCTGAGGGTATGCCTCTAATGATGCTGAAGGATCCTGCTTTTATGTCCCGTGAGTGCTAAAATATCTTGGGGAAACTACCAAGCCCAGCTGTCCCCTCTACGTCCCTTGGGATCCGGCTATGTTTCTGGAGCCCCATTCCGGCAGCCATTGGGCTCTTGTTTTGTTTTTTTTTTAATTAATTAATTAATTAATTAATTAATTTATTTATTTATTTGTCGGGGGAGGTAATTAGGTTTATTTATTTATTCTTAGAGGAGTTACTAGGGATTGAACCCAGGACCTCATGTATGATAAGCATGCGCTCTACCAGCTGAGCTGTACCCTCCCCCAAGCTCTCATTTTAAAGGCCCTCATGACCCAACTGTGATGTTGCTTGGACCCTGACAAAAGTGGCCAATGTCCGCAACAATGCCCCCCAGGACTCTGCTATACTTTTCCTTGGGTCCCACTTCTGTCCCACATGAAGATACCCCAGAATTCCTTTAGATGCTCTCTGAGCCCTAATATAATGTTCCTATAGCCCCACTTTGAGGCTTGTTGGCCCATTAAGATGGCCTTAGGTTCCAACAGCCACGCCAGCATCCTCTCCACTGCATCTGGGGTCCCATCGCACCCCTCACAGCTCTGCTCTAATAACTTTAATGCCAGTGCCCCTGGAGTCCCACAGGAGCATCACCAGAGGCCCCTACTATGCCCCTGGGTCTCCGATGATCTCAGGCTTCCACGCCCAAGCACCTTTGGTTCCTGATAGTACCCTGAGACCCAGTGATAAGGTCTTCAGGAGCCTACACTAACGTCTCCCGGAAATGGCCACCCCATCCCTGGAGTCCTGCTAAATCAGTCCTGAGCCCTCATAGAACAACTGCCGGGACCACTCCGGGATTGTGACCAAGTGCCCTCAGCCCCAGACCCTGCTCCCCGCTGCTGAGCCTGTGCTAATCCTTCTGTTTCCGTCGTAAAGCCGAGCAAGTGGGGCTCCCCAGGTCCACTCCTGCGTTCTCTCTATTCCTGTCCCTCACCGGGTCCTGCCCTATCCAGAATTTCCCCACCAAAGATGGATAGACAGACAGACACAGAGGGATAGGTAGGTAGGCTGGCAGATAGATAGGTAGGTAGATAGACAGACAGATAGATACATACATACATACATACATACTTATATAGATACACAGATAGGAAGAAAAATAGGCAGATAGCTAGGTAGTCACGCAGACAGACAGACAAATAGATGGATGATAGAAAAGTAGAGATAGATAGAAAAAACAGAAAGACAGTTATACAGATGGACAAATAGGTAGGTAGGTAGACAGACAGACAGACAGACAGACAGATAAAAACAATTAGACAGACTCCCTAGGACCTCCTATAACATCCCTAACAGGCAAGAAACCTTTAGCATTTCCCAGGAACTTGCTATCAGGCCCCCCACCATCCAGCTAGATTGCTGCTCCCTCCTCCTGAAATTCCACTAAAGGAGGGCCTGAGGTCCTGCTCCATGGCTCTGTGTATCCCCTTTTGATACCCTGGCTTCTACTCTAATGGTTAAAACACTCCTCTAGGATTATTCTCTACTGCATAGGACCCTAAAACAATGACCCTAGAGCCCCGATGACAAATCTATGGGTCCTGCCGCCATGCTCCCAGGATCCCAGGGCACTGGCCCTTGGAGCCTTCCCAGTGGTGCCAGATCCATCTGTAATGCTCACATCTGGCTCAACTCTCCCTCAGCTCCTGCTTTACCTGTGCCTGGGTATCTCCTCTAGGTGTCCTCTGTCCTGCTACAATGTCCCATTGGCTGTCACTTCAACACTTCAACACTGGCCCCTAATCTGTGGTCCTGCCAAAAAGTCCTTTGGCTCCTGATAACATGTCTCCAGAACCCTGCAATATTCCCTCTGAACGCTTAGAAGTCCCCCTGGATCCTGCTAAAACGGGTCCAGTCTTCCTCATATGGCCTTGAGAGTCACCAAAATGAACTTGGGGCATCCTCTCAAAACCCTCTGTGCCCTGCCAGGACCATATTAAAAAGTCTCCAGGACACTAATGAATTCATCTACAAAATAGAAACAGACTCGCAGACATAGTAAACAATCTTACGGATACCAGTGGTAAAGGGATGGGAAGGGATAAATTTGGGAGTTTGAGATTTGCAAATGTTAACCACTATATATAAGAATAGATTAAAAAAACAAATTTCTTCGGTATAGCACAGGGAACTATATTCAATATCTTGTAATAACCTTTACTGAAAAAAATATGGAAATGAATATATGTATGTATATGCAGGACGGGGACATTGTGCTGTACACCAGGAACTGTCACATTGTAACTGACTGTACTTCAGTAAAAAAAATGGAAAAAAGAAAAAAAAAAGCCTCTAGCTTTATCGTGAGGTCTTTTATTTTTGTAGGGGGGGTAGGTAATTAGCTATTTTTTTTCCTTACTATTTATTTATTTTGATGGAGGTACCGGGGATTAAACCCAGGACCTTAGGCATGCTAGGTATGCACTCTACCACCCCGCCACCATGAAGTGTTTAGAGTCCTGCTGAAACATACCAAGGGCTATTCTGTGGTCCCTAGAGCCATCAAAATGTCCTAGGGAGCTCTGGGAAAATTCCCACTGGCTTTTACCCACGTGTCATGCGTCAGCACCATCCACAATGGACCTAGATCCTTGTGTTAGTGTCTTACGGCTGCTGTAACCAACCACCCAAACTTTGTGGCTTAAAACAACACAAATTCAGTATCTTATGGTTCTGGAGTGCAGACATCTAAATCGGGTCCACAGAGCTGTATTTCTCCTGGAGGCTTCAGGGGAGAATCCATTTCCTGGACTTTTCCAGCTGCTTGGGGCCCCCTGTGTTCCGTGGCTTGTGGCCCCTTCCTCCATCTTTGAAGCCAGCATCTTCTCTGCCTTCTGACCTCTCTGTCCATCCTTATAGCTCTCTCTGAGTCTGATCCTCCTGCTTTCCTCTTATAAGGAATCCTTGTGATTACACTGGTCCCACCTGGATAATCCAAGATCCTGTCCCTTTCTCAAGATCCCGAATTTAATCACATCTCAAGTCCCATCGTCACCAGTTTTGGAAGACGAGGGCATAGACATCTTTGAGGGACCACTCTCCAGCCTACCACGGTCATAAAGGATGCCCTCTCTTGCCCCA